CCGTATCGGCCTCTTTAGTCACCTCAGAACTCACTAACGAAGGTGACATCCTTTATAACTGATATCAATTTATCACAGTTGGATGACCGTCATACTCGATTCGGAGTGACAGCAAAGTAGTAGTAGTAGTAGTAGTAGTAGTGTGTGTGTGTGTGTGTGTGTGTGTGTGTGTGTGTGTGTGTGTGGTAACCACGGAATATTGTATAAACATCCTCTCTCTTTCTCCTCATCCTTCACCTAATCCTTTTCATACTACTCTTCTTCCTACTCCTCGTAGTCTTCTTACTTTTCCTCCTCTTCCTTTTCCTCACACATACCATTAAACCTCACCATTAAGTAGCACTTAATGTGTTACCCTTAGGTAATAACTTAAAGTAACTCTCTCTCTTTCTCTCTCCCATACAATCCGTCAAGGCACAGATAACTAGTTTAAGGCGCTTGACCATGTGCCGCATATGTGTATTATGTGTGCTACATACGTTAGTCACCCCTATGTTTGTAAGTGTTTGTGTGGCATTCTCATATTTCCTGCGTCAGAGACCTATTGACGCCATTATAGACTGACTGAATAACTAAATGACTAAGATAATCTTTCCTTTTACCGTAAAGGGAGCTTTTTCCTTACAGTTGTGTCTCTTTATATACGCTGCCGGGTGTAAGACAATACAGGACAATAACACACACTACACCCAAGTACACCTACAGACCTCTGCACATCCCAACACATAATAATTACACATTTTACTCCCCCAACCTTCCCTTACGCACTACAAACATAGACAAAACACATAAAAAATGAACTAGAAATGCAACACTCAAAAGCTGTGTTTGCTGGGTACACAAGCAACTGGGGCCAAAAACGTATTCAGGCGGTAAAAACCTTATTTCACCCGGATTCTCGTGTGGATGTCCTGCTGATCCGGATTCTACGTACACGAACGCCGTTAGATAGTAAACAAGGGCGGGTAAACACAATGTTGGGGAAATTACGCCAAACCAGAATACCGTGATTACTTTATTTTGTAATTCTCTCAATTTTCTGGCGACACGAAATAATCAAACCTAATGTAACCTAATCGTAATCTACTTCAATTTTCTCCCGCTTGGTCACATTTGAACACCTCTTAAGTTATCTCATATATGCGTTGTATCGTTGAGATAGACTGCGCGAATTTATATCGAGTTTTATCAGTTATATAAATGATTTGGGATATATCCAGCCATACAAACTGTAGTTAATTACCTCTTGTGCTATATGTTTGCTATCATTTGTTTCTGTTTGCTTTATTTTCGGTACAAAACAAAGAAATAATGAAAACACTTCCTTCGACAGCGAATATCATCTTTGACGTCGACCGATTATGATAAATATTAAAAAAAAAATTAACATTCTCTCTGAAGTGCTAATGCCTTCAAATTATTTGCATTTTGATATTCCAGATATTTAACATTATTTTAGAGAATAACAGGTCTGATTACCAATTGTGAACACATTTTGTTTGAATAAATGGACAGCTACATGAACATTTTCAATGAACCAATCAGCTATATATAGCTATAGACGAGGGGTGTGGTTTACGGGCCAGGTTAGCGTGGAAATAATATAGCTAAGTATACACACATCCGGGAATCATCTCCCAGACGCGTGAAAAAAAAAATCGCGGAGCCTCAACTTGGGGTCGATGTCATCACAAACATTCTTTACAAAACATAAACAGCAAAGAAATCGAAAACGTTGCCTCTCTTTTGTCGCTCCTACGGTGATAAATCATAAAAGAATTAGAGAACAGATCTTGTTTCTTTTCGTTTGCTCAAGAAAAAAATATTACAAGCGTGAGTGAGCGGAAGGAAAATGTGACGGTGATGTGACGGGGGAGTTTCTTGTAGTGTAATGGTAATGTGACGCTGGTCTGGTAACAAGGTTTGTTAAACTGTTCCCTCCTAAAACTTACTTGGCTCTACACACCGTCACAATAACAATAACATCACTAGAACGCACACTTGACAAATAACATCCAAATAATAATAATATTCAAGGTATTTTCGTAACAAAATACATTCATAAAAGCTACTATTCGTAGTAATGTAAAATAAAATTATTAATGCCGACCTCCATACAAGTGTCAACATACCGGGGTTCCGTGTGCTGGTGTATCATACCGGGTTCCAACACCAACACACGTGTTAACTAACATACTAGAGTTTCGTGAACTGGTGTAAACATACTGGGGATCCGACCTACAGTTCATAATGGTGTATACGTAACGGGGTTCCAATATCCAAAATAATGGGTAATGAAGGGGAGGGGTGGGGGTGGGGGGGGGTGGACTCCGGCGTCCACAATGTTGGGAAGAAATAACCAAGGACTATAAATGGTAAGAACAAACCGCTGTAGCGTCATAAAATTTAGTTGTGGCACTTGCTAGATGCTTCTGGTGTTGTTGTACAGGGGTACTGAGTGACAGCACTAGGATCCCGGTTCCTCTATCAAGGAATAAACTATTGAAATTAAATTGAATAAACCTTAGCTCCGCCCCGTTCACTTACGTTACGCTAGTTACGCACGTCATCTGGTACAAGGACTATAAGCAATAAGGACAAACAGCTGTACCGTAATAAACTTTGGCTCAGCCCCATTCAATGACGTCACGCTAGTGACACGTCACCTGGTGATTTGGAGCACTCACAGATGTAAGGGGTTTGTATTCCAGTCCAATGATTGTTGGAACTGTGTTGTTCAGTGTTGGGTTTGTTCTCTGTATATGAAGCAGGTGTTGCTCATGGGTAGTTAGAACCGAGTCATACTGCGGGGTGTAACCGTATGGCTGCTCACTTGGCTTCCTTCCTCTGACCCAGTTGGTCACCTGCTACCTGTGAAAATTCCATATGATATATTTTAATGAGTTGAGCTCGCTAGTGCACTTTGTTATAGTAAACCTCAAGTTATCACCCTAGGAGGTGACAAGGCCAATATTAACACATCTATATCAGTATAGGCTGCGACTAGCAATGAAGAAACTGGAAACAGAATGGGAATCTGTGCAAGAGAGCTGCGCCGTGTCACTGCTGCCTGTCTGATAACATAACTCAGACGTCATTCTCCCTGGCCTCACTGCTGTAGGTAGACGTTCCAGACTCTTCTCTTGCTTCAGCTTCTTCTTCGCATTTTGATCTGTCTGTTGTTCTTCACACCATCTGTGCGTTTTTTAGTCACCAGTTTCCCAGGATGTTTTCTTTTCTTAGTTATTTAGGAGGGGGAGTATTATGTTGCGTGTTAACGGGTTCTTTGGCTTGTGCTGGTGCCCTCTTGGCTTCGGCCATTTTCAGGCTTTTTTGCTTTTCCCTGTTTAGGAGTTTTAGCCCCCTCACCCTTTTTTTTTTGCTTCTTGTGTGGTGCTTCGCGCCAAGGGCGTCACTTCGTTGTTTGTTTTTCCCCACGTGGGTGGCCCTCTTTTTCCACCCTCTATTTGTGTTTTCTCTCGTCCAGGCCCAGGCACCAGGTCGTTACTCGGTTTCGTTGTCTGGCCAGGGTCTTGGTGGCAGAGAGAGACGTCTGTAGTCCCTTCTTCTTCCCTGCTCCATTGTTTTATTTCTCCTGTTTGTCCTTTTCATCCCCAGCTCCAGAAGGTGCCCTGCTCGGCCCCGAGGAGTTCGGCCTGTTCAGCCCACGCTCAGTGCATGGACGACGACAAGTTCGACCCGAGTCGCTCTGTGGTGTGCTCTGATGGGTGGCACGGCTTCTCCGCTACGCCGATGGAGATGTGGACACCTCCCACATTTTCTGGCAACAACTTCGGCACCTCTGGGCGGCAGCCTCCAGTTCCAGCAGACACCGGGACTCCCCCCCTCTCCCCTATCCTGGAGGGACCAGGATATCTGTTCTCGGTTGAGGATGTGCCACCACCTAGGCCCCTCGGGAAGAAACCACTCTACCGAGGACCCCAGGCCAATCGCCCCTCCCCCGGCTTCCCAGTCGGCTACCGGGAAGCCCACCTCTGCCTGGGGCTCCGGGCTCTCTTTCCCCCCCCCGCCCCGTCGCAGCCTCACCGGCCCCGGGCAGTGCACACCTCCCAGCCCTGCCACTGGAAGATGTTGGAGGCTCTGTCTTCCTGGTTTTAGCAGCTGTAGCAGTAACACCAGGGGGTCGCTCCAACCAACTCCGTGGTACAAGGCTCCCCCCCGAGGCCTCCCTTTCTCCTCTGACCCTTCAGTCTCTCCTCTGACCCTTCAGTGTTCTCGGAGTCGGGTTCCGAGCTGAGGAGGGCCGGGCCCTCACAGGAGCTGCCTGACTACCCTCTCGGACCAGGGGCTTCTCGGCAACAACTCCAGTCCTTACAAGGCCCCCCCAGGCCGTAGTCAGGAGAAGGTAACTTCCCCGCTCCTACGGACACTCCCCTCTCCTTTAAGACACCTGAGACATTATCAGTCACGGGGCGTACAAGCGGGCTCGGGTCCCACGGGACTGGTTTGTGCACTAGCACCAGGAGAGACTGGCCATTTTTAGAGTGTAAAGCGGGGGGAGGACCTAGTTCTCTCTACCCGTCCCGACCTTGAGGTACGACGACGGGCGGACGACTGAGGTTCGGAGTACTTAGAGTTCTGGCAGCTCCGCCTGTCGAGAAGGGAGATGGTCCCAGCCCTGTCAGGAATGTGCCCAGTCGCGGCCCTGGACGTCTTCGACTCTCTGCCCTCCTGTTACGTGCTGTCCAAGGCAGGTCCGTCCCAAGTGGCAACGCTACAGGACGGTAGGAGGTGTGCCCGGGCGGCCGGCCAGGCCCCTCTTTCCATGGGAAAAGGTGGGCCTGGACCTCCAGTCGATGTGGACGGCGGCGGCTGGAAGGAACAGCTCTCACATTACCTCCCCGTCACCGGCCCCTGTAGTCTTATCCCTCCAGGATGACCGGGTGCCAGACGAGTTGATGAAGTTCCTGTGGGCTCCGAAATTAACCCAGTCCTCTCTCCCATGGCAGGCCTCTCAGGTAGCCCAGACTATCCTGACCATGGACGCCATGGAGAGGCAGAAGGTGGCCCTCGCCTTCTCCACTACGGCAGGATTGGCCCAACTCAGCGCCTGGTTAAAGGCACTGACCGACAACCCTAACTCCCTCCACCCAGACTCAGCATACGGCGTCTACGAGGCCCTTTCTACCTTCGCTTCCGGATTCGCCTCGGCCTTCAACCTTTGCCCTCCTTTTTGGATGGAACGATTCCTGGCCCTCTGGCTGGCCATGGATCCGTCCGCCTACTCTCAGGACAACCAGACTACCCAGGACGAAGCCATCTGCTTCAAAATGGACAGCACAGCATCCGTTTTTCTGCCTCAACAGGTAGGGAACGGCCCGCTCAGCCCAATTGCTGTCATTCTCGGAGCAGTTCTTCAAGGAGGCACACCACCTGTCTGCTCGCCATGCCCTGGGAATCGAGAAGGGCTGCGGTGTCCCTCAGGACTCATTTAGTTTAAAACTCGGGTTGAAACACGACGACCCTCTTCAAGAGAAGATGTGGTTTAATAATACGGGCGTAAGACCCTCCATTACTCGACAATACGAGTCCTGTTGGAAAGCCTTCCAGCAGTACCTCAAGGAGCAAGGATCTTCTATGCCCACTGAAAGTGTAGTTCTAGAGTTCCTATCATCTTTAGCGCACGAGCAAGGCAGGTCTATCCCGACCCTCACCGACCCCCTGGATTACGGATATGGGGTGAAGGTTAGCTACAGGTCGATTGCCCTGCTGAAGCGGGGCCTGTTCCACCAGCGACCACCCAGGACATTTCTGGTCCTTGAAGAAAGTCTTCACTCTCTGGGCTCTGATAACCTAGCCTGAGGGCCTCTGGCCTTATGTTGTTTATTTTTCTTATGTTCTTGTTGCTATGAAGGTTTTACCATGCCATGGATTAATCTGATATGTCTCACCCCAGGGTCCATTCACCATCCATCCGTCAAAGGACCGCCTACTACAGAAGACCTTCTTTCTCGTAGCGCTGGCTATGGGTTTCAGGTCCTCCCAGCTCAAGGCACTCACGAGGTTCGACCACTGGACCTCCTTCGCCCAAGAAGATTCTGCAGTGTCCCTGGCACCTTCTCCCACCTACCTGGCATGGAAGCTGGAGGGCGAGCATCACCGACTCTGCCTGGTTGGGACCCTCCTCCAATACCTCTACGCTACAGCCGATCACACCACCAGCCACCATCATCTCTTCGTTCATTCTCGGTCTGGACGCTCTCTGTCAGTCAGAGGATTGGCAGACAGGTTGTGGCAGGTTATAGAAGAGGCTGACCTTGGGAAGGCCCCTCAACCCCACGACTTCTCACAGGTACGGGAAGGGGGTCAGTGGAAATCGGCCTCCTGCTTCATAACAAGATACATGTCTCACCAAGTGTCAGACGCACCCTGCGTGGCAATGGGTCTCACCTCTCGACCCACAGACAGCATGCTAGAAAAATATTAATGCAGCTTAATCAAGAATAAATAAAATTAAAATGGTCCTGTGTGTGCTCACTGCTCCCATTACATCCTAGCACCCCCATTCCTGTTGAATTTATCAAAGTGCACCAGCGAGCTCAACTCATTAAAATAGGGGCTTTGATGCTTGCTGAAAAAGCCTATTTTTGGTGAGTGAGCGAAGCTATTATACGAACTTATCCCGCCCTTCTTTCGGCTCCATCCCCCTGCTATTCATGATGTAGGGTTTTGGAAAGGAATGACGTGTGAGTTATGTTATCAGACAGGCAGTGACACGGCGCAGCTCTCTTGCGCAGATTCCCATTCTGTTTCCAGTTTCTTCATTGCTAGTCGCAGCCTATACTGATATAGATGTGTTAATATTGGCCTTGTCACCTTCTAGGGTGATATCTTGAGGTTTACTATAACAAAGTGCACTAGCTTCGCTCTCTCGCCAAAAATAGGCTTTTCAGCAAGCATCAAAGCCCCTATTGTCGTTTTTGGTTTATGGTTCCTATGGTGCTATTTGCATTTTAAGGGTGCCTTGTGTAATGTTTGTTAATTACTGTGTATGTAGAGCTTAGTATGTATGAATTGAGCAAATATAATAGCAATGTTGACAGTTATTACTAAAATAGACACTATTCTAAATGTTCTGTATTGTTGCAGCTTTTTATTCATGGTCACATTGGTGTGAATTGCTGCCCTCCTAGCTAGGACAGTCAGCCCTAGCCCGGGTCCATTACCAAGTACCGGTACCAGTTAGGTGGATACTTGATCTGTGAATTTGTTGAGAAGACGCCAATTTACCACTTGTGCCGTGTGTATATACAAGACCCCACGCTTGACATCCAGTGTCAACACTCCCGACATTTGTTCTGGCCGGCAGTCTGGCACTTCCATACCACATAATTATGTTTTTGTTACTTTGTACTGTCTTCAAGCCGGTTATCAGTGTAAATACTTGTAAATAGACAAGTTTTGTTACAAATATCCATAATCGTGTTCAATATCCTTGGTGAAAGCGACAGTGTTCCACCTGACAGTAATCTATAAAAGAACCAGAGGACGTTAACATCTAAACCCTCGACACAGATGGTGACAGCCTTTACTTGGTTGACGTTTGATTGTTTCATTTTTTGAGAATACTCGTAGGGCTAAGGCTTTTTTCTGGCCAAGTATAACAAAATGAATGCCTTATGTTCTCATAGTCCTAAAAAAAAAAAAAAGAGGAGACACCAGGTGGGGGGGGGTGCCAGGCATTTATCTGAGGACATGGACGAAGCAACTAATTTTTTAGCTTACTAGCAATGTAAGGATTTTCCTTTTGCTTTACAGTGTATACTTTACAAAATAAAGCAAGTTTCTCTAGGCGTTAAGCATCACGACCGTTGTTGGTGAATCAAGTAATATAACGGGATTTTTTTATATTTTGGGCAATATTAATGTGTTATTGTTTTTTTTTGTCAGAGGTGGCAATAACAATGTCTCACGGTCTTTTGGATGACCTGATATTGACTGACATTGCAGAATTAAGACACTACAAGAAATCTTCCCTGGCGTTTTGAAACAAGCGCAGTGTTGACACCTGAAACCCACGTACGGATGTACTTAACTTGATTTTTTTCAAGATTATTAAATGTTCGGAGTTTTTTGGGTACATATAACAAGATGAATGTCTCACCTTCCTGTAGATACTTGGATATCGACAGATATTCCAGAATTAAGGAGATACAAAAGAAAAAGAACTCTCTTCAAACAAGTTCTCGGCTAGCTTAATGTATTATTTTATAAGCGCTTGCAGGCTTTTACCCATTTATCACAAGATTTTTTATCTCTGGAAAATCTGTAATACATGATGAGCTCTCTGCTTGGGATTTGATCATTGTTGATGCACCCGTATATTGCACAAATAACCATAATTGTCGATACACTGATCACGGGAACAGACGAGGGCACACACGGAGCTCACTGGATGAAACACATTTACAACAGTGACGTCACGGAGCGGAGCTGTGCATTGTGGGTAAAACAAGTGTTTGGTGAACTATCCTTACTAGTATATGATCCTTGGAAATAACGGCCACTTACAGGGTCAATGAGAACACGTATTACGATAATATTAACTGAGTTGCGAGGATAATGAAGAGAACAAAAGTAGGTTGACCGTACCTGAGGTGAGGTGTGTTGCGGTCCCTGGATGAGACAGTCAACAAACACTTACCTGAAAAGAAAAAAAAATGTAATATCAATAAGACTTACTTTCTTACCTTCCATGACACATACGCTTGTAATGTTTTTAACATTTAACTTGCAAGAACAATTAGGGGAAATAAATGGATTTTGCTTATAATAAATGTACAAAGCAGTAAAATAGGTCAATACGGCATGATAGCAGCAGCCAAGGCAGTGCTCACCTTGTATTGGTGGTGGTGAGGCAAGCCTAGTGGAGAAACATCTTGCAGTAGAACTTATACCAGCAACCTTCCTGCCTGAAACAACAAACACGTGATCAACCAACACTACGTTTGACATTACTTTTACAAGTACACGACTTTAAAAATACTTAAAATAAAACGTACCCAGAATTTAGCAAAAAAGAACGGAAGACGTAAAGTATGTTAACAAGACTTAAGGGTGAAACAAACTGCACCAGTAAAAGTTGACTCGATAGCCTATCATAAGAGTGCAACCCGCAAGAGTAATCCACTAACAAACGTATGCTATTGAATGTCAAATGTTCTTTAACTTTTACAATATTAAAGGAATCAAACAAGAATTAAATAGGCAATTTGAATCAGGGTAAGAACACAAGGAAAACAGGTTACCCGTTATCACCGCCGACTGGCGCTGACAAGCGTCATGAATGTGACTATGCTATCAAGCGCAGCCTCACACAGTAGAAGTATGTTGAAGCCTATCGGCGCTGGTTGGCTGCGCTGACAAGTTTACCAGAATGAACAAAACATACTTTTCTCGCTCGCCGGCGCGGGTGGACGTGTTGTTGAGGCGATGCTAGTTGTGCGAGGTGTGCCAGTTGCACCATGATTTTGTCAAACGATGTTCAACCTTCTTCAAAATGTAGTCGAAAGTTTCCCAAGTCATTCTCATGTATTGAGGAAAAAAAACTACTTGGATCCCTTATTAGCTCACTAAAAAGATGGTGATATTCACAGTAATTTTCTCTACTACGATTGATTTCATGAATTCCAGTTCTTTTTCTCCTGATTTTTGCATAAGCACTATCGAGCAAAAGAAAATCTTCGTCAGACGACGAGCTAGACATCTTTACTGTACGACAGGTGGACCACAACTCGCAGACATACCTGCGTCCTCCGTGTCCCGCCTACCCAGCGCTGACTGTCGGCACTGGTCGGCACTGGAAACTGGCAGGCGGGTAACCTGCTTTCTTTGTGTTCTCACCCTTTTACTCCGATACCACTCGTCAAGTGAGGAATATTCTGCACTTAAACTGACGTCAGGAACCGTCAGGTTGAGACCCACTTCTACCTATCCTGACTAGTGAATTTACTAATATAGAAATCGCACTTTAAGACCTTAGTCGATGGTGCGCAGTAACACACTGTAAAATGAACATCAATATATCCTGAATTAAGTCCTGTTCAAAGGTGTAACTTCCTAACAACCTGCATCATTCGCGAGATGAGCGAAATTTGACACTTCAGAAAAGGATTTTCAATTATAGGCTATCAAGAGCATATAGTGTGTGTATTTGGTATGGTCACAATAGTGGAGAATATTTCAGAGTACCGTCCTCATATCCGAGGGTTGGCGACCACAGTCCTCCACTCTCAACGATCTCGGGTTGTTTTTACGAATCCTCCAAGGTTTTGTATCTCTCTGGGGTCTCGGTTTTTAATTTTATTCGTCCATTCCATTCTCTGCCTTCCCTGGCCCCCCTACCCTCAACTTTGCCCATTAATATCTCTTCTAATATCCCTTCACCCCAGATTATACAACTAAAGCATATTTTTCCTTATTCTATAAATTTCAAGCGTATTTCTCTTGCAGCTTTCACCAATCTTAGTACTTCCTCAATTGTTTTTGTCATTGTAATTGATTTTTAATATTCACTTATAACATCACATTTCAAACGCCTCTAACCTTTTTCCGGTGTCTGCTGAAAGTGTTACGCTTCTAACCCATACAACAGTCCTAACCTTCATTGCCTTTCAATAGCCTTTTTCTCAAGTTGAAGCAAATGTTCCTTTTTATTGGGTCTTTTAGATTCTTAAATGCTGTTTTTGCTTCTCCTATACTTGTTTTGATTTCTTGTGTACATCTACCATCACAGCTAATGTTATTTCCCCAATGCACAAAAGTTTCCACTTGTTTAAGTTCCCTGTTGCCTACCATAATTTTTATTTTAAAATTTAATTTCCAATTTGGAACAACCGTTACTTTCTTTACAGCATTATTTCTTAAACCATACTTTTCACCTTTTCCCACTGATCTGCTTACCCAGTTTTTGTAACGCCTCTTCACTGTTGGTTGTCCATGATAAGTGCAGTATCATCTGTACTGCTTGCATATAATATTACTGTACTGTACCATTAAATCTTATTCCTTCATTATTATTTACAACTTCTCGCATTGAGAATTCCGAGGGATAGAACACGGTCTTTTCTTACTCTTTGTCTAAGCCAGG